CTTGTGGAGCTGAGGGCCCAGAGCTGGACACAAGATTGCAGCTGGGGTGTGAGCAGGGCAGAGCAGAGGGGCAGGAGAAGCTCTCTGGCCCTACAACCACCCCTTCTAACACCCAGGATGTTAGTTCCTTTCACCACCACTCTCTGTGCTCAACCCCTGCAAGGAGTTTTGGAGATCGATCAGGTTATTGGGCTGGCTGAGCTGTCATCTGTAGGGTGAACAGCTCTGTGAGTGTTTGTTCTGGCTTTGCAGGTGGAAGGGAAGAGCTCCATCATCCTCACCTTCAAACAGCTCCTGGCGGAGGAAGGCCCCTGGGGCCTGACCAAGGGCCTCTCTGCCCGCATCATCTCGGCCACCCCTTCCACCATCGTCATCGTGGTGGGCTACGAAACCCTGAAGAAGCTGAGCCTCCGCCCGGAGCTGGTGGATTCGAGACACTGGTAGGGGCGACCGGTGGGAGAGAAACCTTTGAACCCTGTGAATTTGGACCCTCGCGGTTGGAGGCAGTCGCCGTCGCCGCTGTCTCTGGTGGTTTCACAATGCAAGGCAGAAGTGAGAGCAGCTGCACGTCACCATGGACTGGAGCGATGGACTGGAGCGTGATTATTGCGCTGCTCTGCTGCTGCTTCTGCTTCCAACCACCCACGTGGGACTTCGGGCAGCGCTGTTTGCCTGTGACGGTTGATCCGGGCGTGTGAACGCGTCCTGACGAGTTCCTAATTCCCTTTTTTGTAAATCTAGGACTTCCTGGCTGGAGCAAAAAAGCCAGTTAATTCTTTTAAATTATTTTCATCTTTGCCAAACTTCCGAGGAGGGGCGTGAGGGGCCGCAGCAGAGCCCTCTCGTGGGTTGGGTGCTGATTGCAGCTGTACAGGAACAGACCAGGGAAGTAAACGACTCCAATCACCCACGTTTATTTCTAGAAGATGTGAGATGAGAATAACCTGGAGCCACTGAAGAGCCGTGGGTAGATCTGTACATACCTTTTTTGTATGTCCTTGGAACAATGTTTCCTGTCTCCCATCCCAACAGCGAGCTGGCTGCTAGGCAAGTTAGGAGTTCAGCCGGCTGTTTGTCTTTAGCTGTGGCAGTTTTGACACCTAACCTACGGTTTTAACCCGCTGCTATTTAATTTTAAGTATTGTTCCTATTTTAGGGAAGCTTTTGCTGATTTCTTGGGGGGCCTGAGTGGTTGTTCCGTGGCCTTGTTCAACGTGAGTGTCAGTACTGCATGGTCAGGGTGGCTGCTGCCACTTCCCACCTTTAGTTTAAGCACACCCCCCCAACAAAAAAAAGCGCTGAGTTTGGAAGTGTCACATTGCTGGAGGAAAACTGAACCCGATCCGAGCTGCAGCTGGATGTGAGGTGGGGAAGATGAAAACAAAAACGCTTGTACTGGCTTTTGATCCAGTCCAAACCTGATGGGCATGTTCATATTGAATAAGAAGTAATGGCTCGTTAATGCTTTGTAAGTCTGAATCCTGCTTATCCTGTTTGGGAAGGGCAAGGATGATTCTTTGCACACTCTTGCTGGATCAAAACCCGAAGCTATGGCCTGTGTGGGTTTTTTTTGGGAGCTCAGATTGGCGACCCAAGGGGCTGCTCCTTGGGGAGGAGGAACCAAGGGAACGTTCGCCTTTGCTCTGCTGCTCTGGGGGGTTCAGATTTGCCTCTCGTGTGGCTCGTCCTGGTTATAAACCTCCCAAAAATTGAGACATCGCTGCCTCTGTCCACCTCACTGCCACGACGAGGAGCTCCATGGTCCTGCCCGACTGCGGCTGCTGCCGGGCTCTTTTCTGTCTCAGGGCAGAATTTATAAGGTGAGGTTGCAGCTGAGTTTGTTTAATCCCAGTTTTGTTTTCTGCAGCATTAACCGAGGTGGCGAATGCCAGAGCTGTTGGGCAGCGCCTTCCGCCAGCTGCTCTCCCCTCGTGCTTTTGTTGTTTAAAAGACGACACCAATCGGCGACTGCCGTCATAACAAATCCTGCTCCGAGCAGTGGAACAGGATTGCGAGGGAGTTGTTCTGGCACAGAGGCGGTAATGAGGCAAACATTAAATAATAATAATGATGATCAGCCTCTGCTGCTTAGCAGCAGGGTGAACCTCGCTGTGTGTTGTGGAAGTGGCAGGCAGCACAGCTGCAGGGAGATGATCTGAATCTTAATGTTCCCCTCTCAACCAGCGACGGTTTTGTCAACGAATAAACTGCACAGACCTTCAGTTTGGATGCCTGAGTTTAAAAGCGACTTAATCTCGGTGAGGGTGTTTGCCAAGGGAGGCTGCTGGCTGCTGTCATTTCACAACGATGCTTTTTTTGCCTTCTGAGCAGCGGAGACTGCCTGAAAATCCAGTGACGGTGCCTGCCCGGAGCTGAACAAGCCATAAAAAAACCTGGTGGTACCTGAAACTGGTTGGTTCTGATGATCTTGACAAGATGAAACTGTAAAATCTGCTGCTTTTTCCCTCTCTTTCTGTGCTGAACTTGGATTATCCTTCTCTCTTTGAATCCTTCAGCCTGGATCGTTTTGTTTCATTAAACGATGGGGGAATATTTGTCGGTCCGTGAAGGGGACTCGGGTGGGGACTTCCCTGGGGATCTCCAAAGAGGGACAACTTCTTGTATTTACTGCTCTACTCCAGCGCCAGCTCCCAGGTTCCTCCTGTGATGTGGCACGGGAGGAAAATTCTTACTTCTTCTTAATTTCCTTAAGAAGTTTTATTACATTTTACTTGGAAAGCTGAAGCGTTTCTGCCCTGGCCTGGGGCTGAGCTGGGCTCTGTGGACCACGCCCCCCAGCGGTTTGGCCACGCCCCCTCCTGTGACCACGCCCCCACCGCGGTGCCTCCCCACAGGGCGCGG